ACTATAGTCTTACCATCGTGAAACAATACACAAAAATAAAAAGTCCCCAAATGCCTTAAAATGCAAGATTATGTCCTAAAACATGCTGCCAAGTGAATATTTTGTGTTTAAAAGTCCAAAAAGTATTTTATATGAATATTTAAAAAATCACCCAAAACATGCCTTACTATAGTCTTACCATCGTGAAAAAATCCACAAAAATAAAAAGTCCCCGAAATGCATTAAAATGCAAGATTATGTCCTAAAACATGATGCCAAGTGATTATTTTGTGTTTAAAAGTCCAAAAAGTATTTTATAAGAATATTTAAAAAATCAGCTTTACCATTGTGAAAAAATGCATAAAAATAAAAAGTCCCACAAATGACTTGAAATGCAATTTTATACCACAAAACATGTCGCCAACTGAATAATATGTGCTAAAAACTGCAAAAAATATTTTATATGGATATTTCAAAATATCAACAAAAACAAGTCTAACTAAAGCCTTACTACCACGAAAAATCCAAAAAAATAAAAATCTCCAGTTATGCCCCAAAACATGCTGCCAAACGCATAATTTGTTCTAAAACATGCAAAAAATATTTAATATGAACATTTCAAAATATAGCAAAAACAAGCCTTACTATAGCCTTCTTATAGCCTTACTAGTCCCTACATAGTACAATGTAGATACAGCCTAACATGTTTAAAGTTAACCAGTGTAAGACAGTGTAAGAGTTATATATATTTTGTGGTAGTGTTACATGCTGTGGTTGTCATTGTTGTAAATGATTGTTGCAAAAATAGTGAGATGCTACAGTGAGATTGCTACTACTGCCCTAAGAGGAAGTCGGGGTCTGAAGTGAAAATCAGTCATGTTACATCACTGCACCCAGGACAGGTTGATTCACTCTTGTCTCCTATAATCCATTTATTTACAGTTTCGTGACCAAACTGTAAATTTAAAAATAAAAATAAAATAAAAATAAAATGTAAAAAGCGAAGTCTTCCAATACACAGACTAAACTTTAGTCTGTGTATTGGAAGACTTCGCTTTTGTAAGAATTGCCATTATTTGGTACTAATCATTTTCCGTTGAGCCAGCAAATTTTATTTGAAAGATTACACAAATACACAAGACAATGAAGGTCGAGAACATAGAGGCTCCAACTACACACCAACCAGAATCCCTTATTCCTTTGATCTTGTTCTTTCATATATTTTTACCTATCCTTTAGTATATTTTTATCCTTTTACCTTTAATTCTTTGATCTTTCTTCCTTTTCAATTGTTCTTTAATCACTTCATTAAGATAGTAGGATAGACAATGGTTAACATCCAAGACGTTAAATGAGAAACCAAATGCGGATGCATCCAAAGAAAAGAGGGAGGCAGTGACGGATCATCTTGGAGGAGAACTTCTGGTAAAAAAAATTTTTGATTTTTTTTTTTTAGTTTCTTGTGTAGCTGTTAAAAATTTTCCATTACACTACTATTGACATTCATGACGTACAGAGTCTGCGCACCCATCAGGAAGCAAAAATGAAAGACACGAGGATTCCAATAGTATTTCTTATATTGCATTTAAACATCTTTTTAAATCATCCACTGTTTGCATTTATAACAATTTCCCCCAAAATACAGAACCCATTCCTGAACTCAGACACCACTTCACAACCTGATATTTTGACACAGTTAAACAACACAAACATATAACTCAGTTTTTGCTGTAGTTGTGAAGTTCCTTTTTAAACCCTTTTAAAACATTAATTTGTTAAAAGATATTGATTGACATACTGCTATGTTTTCATAGCTCTTAACAGGATTTCATTGCTTCCCAAATGTAGTGATCCAACAACAAAAAGATCTTTCATATTTGTCTGGCCATTCTCTTTAATGGGTTTTCTTCATAGAACCTTGCTTAGAGGTAATCACCTGGATAAACTCAGCTTTGAACAAGTGGGTTTTCTGGTGGCAGTAAAAACTACTTAACTACCTGTTCCCCCCCCAAAAAAGATCACATCCACACAGAACAAAAACAGAAAATCACTTTTATCAATCCGATAGACCATTTAATATTTATATCTATAGTCACTTTCCATCTATTGTAAACATGGTTTATTTTAGCTCAGTAGCTGTCCTATTTACTGTACATAATCATACGTGCAATGCAGAAAGGAAAAGAAAATTTTGAAAAAAGACAAAAGACACTGCTGGATTTGTTGATTACATCAAACCAAGGAGAACTTAGTTCTTTGGTCCATTGGCCCACCCTGTGTGGTGTGCTGCTGTAATATGGCGGTCCCTGTGGGAAGTACCATGGGTCAATGCCCCATTTTACATGTTTACTGTGCATCTCCTGCCCCTGTCACAGTAGTTGGTCCCATTTTAAACATCTTTAGAAATGAATATTTGTGCACCAACTTGATTTCTTCTTATTTTTGACCATCTGCCAGGTCCTTGATGGTGCCACACTCAACCTCTTTTCCTGATCGAGTCATAACCATCGTCTCTTTAGCACTGTCACTTTCCTCCTGTCCTATTCCTTCTGTTTCTTCACTGCTAACTATTGGTGCATTATTCGTTCTCTGGAAGTCCGCAGTTCCTTCTTCCTTATCTGCATCTGTCTTCTCATGGTTTTCAACCATCTCAAACTTTTCATCTGCTGGTGTGGATGAAAAAAAAATCACAGATTAAACATGTGTTTTAGCTCAATTTTTTTATGGTTTCTATAAAATGCGTGTGTTAACAAAAATAAAAAAACATACCTTTCCCCTTTTCCATAGGCTCTGAACTGAATGTATCATCTTCAGAGGACTGTAAAATAACGTTTGGGGCAGGACTGTTGTTTGAATGTGCTGGAGAGGTTGGATAATCAGCAGAACCATCAGCGATACCTCTGGTCAATGCATTGTTGCTGAGATTGTTAGTGTGAACTGGATCTGAGTCAGTGTGAGCTGGGTCTGAATTGGTCGACAAGGTGGAGCTGACTGCAGCTGTTGTTGATGAACTGGTGGTGGAGGTGGTGTCTGCATTGTTCAAACTGATAGTTGTGGTGGAAGTAATGTCGTCAGGCTCTGTTACAGCATTACATGTGGTGGGAACAGAGGGGGGCTGAGTGTCTGGGTGAATGGAAGCAAAGGTGGTCATACTCTCACTGCTTGTTGGGCTTTTAGTGGAAGCAGTGGCAGTGATGGATGAAAAATTGGAGCTGACGGAAAGAGTGGGAGTTGACATCTGGGTGGAGGAAGCAGAAACAAGGGTTCCAAGTGAAACTGCAGTTTCACTCAGGTCACTTGAGATGAAGCTTGAAGCTTCAGCAACTAAACTGGTGGAGGATGAAGAAGAAACAGCTGCATCACATGCAGCAGCAGCACTGTGTGAGAGATTCCCATTTACCTCTGGCAAACTTGATTCAGTGGACATGATAGGTGACCATTTAGAAACTTCAATTTCATTGCTAGCTTCACAAACTGTTTCCAAAATGATAATGGAAGGTGACACTGTTGTTATGGGTGTTACATTGGAAGTGTCAGAAAAGGTCTGAGTCATTGACTTAGAAGAAATGGAACTAATAAAATTAGCACCAAGAGACTCACTGGGCGTGGTGGTGCTTGTAGAGGATGTCAGAATGGTACCAGTGGGTGGTTCAGTGGTAGTTACACTATCCTCAGTCAATTTACTCTCAAGCTCCGTAACAGTTGTTGGTGTAGAAGCTTGTTCAATTGGCTTGACAGAGTCAGTGCATATGTCTATGCCAGTGTGAGCTACAGTACTGGAAGGAGAAACTGTAGCACTACTGGAGTCAGAGACTGAATTTGAGATTGTTTGCACAGTTGAAGTGGTGCTGGTAGATGTCAGGGATTCAGCAGCAACAGGTGGAGATGAAGTTGAACATGGACTGTGTTTAGTGTGTGTGTTTTTCTCTCCTTCTTGTATTAGTGGTAGTTCATTTTCAGGTATGTTGTGGCCAGATGTTGTGTTGGTTGGACCAGGCTTGATTACTGGTTTTGGAAGCAACGGAGGTTTTCCAGCTGATTCATGCTCTGACACACTTGGTCGAATTTGATGCCTTATATCTACAAGAGTAAAATGCAAAGAACTTATATTATACATTATAGTTACATTATATGTACAATATACTGCCATAGTATTGTTTTTGTGTTGATATGTACTTTGTACCTGATGATGCAGACATTGTTCGAGGTTTAGAGAGAGAAGGAGGTGGCTCGGGTTTACTGTCAATAATCGTACCTGGAACACACACATAAATATATTATTGTTTACTACCAGATTTACAGATTAAGTCTTTCAACTAAGGATGTTGTAATTATATATACTGTATATAATAAAATATATAAAAAAATTAATTAATTTTGTTTAAATAAAGTGGGCAGGAACATCAAAGAATCCAGCAGCACTATAGAGTTATTGTAGCCAACAAGTTAAAATAATGTTTTTACAATATCAAGATAATATAACAAATATAAGGGTCTTGTGAAATTTGAATTTTACAATTCCATTGGGAAAAATACTGTAATGACAATATTGTAAAATACATTTAATTAACACACCTTCAGATTCTGCCTTTTTCATCTCTCTCTCCTGATTCTAAAAGGTATAAAACGTGTTTTTAATATACATGATATATTTGAGAATTACATATCTCTTTTCAGACACACACACATACATAGACGCACCTGTGTTTCAGCTGGTTGTGATTTTGCAACTCCGATACGTTGAAGCATGAGATGGAGTTTCTGTTCAAAGCTATGCTGGCCTTCCATCTGTTTCTAAAATCAGCAAGAGCAAAATAATGAGGAACTCAACTGCTCCAGTTCTGAACTAGTGCAACAATACTGGTACTAATCCTCACCTTAGTTGCATTTCTAGAGTTGGGAGTCCCTGCTGCCGATGCTGATAGCAGAATGAGAGACTGGGATTTCCCATCTCTGAGAGCACGCCGGGGAGGCGCGGTATCACCTCTTAGGGGAGGAGCACCAGAAACAGGGGCCTCCTGAACAGCTGACTCTCCTTTCTCCTTTTCATTTTCCTTGTCATGTTCTTTCACTCTGTCTTTATCCTTTTCTTTCTCAGCTCGGGCGACTTCCCTGAGTGGACGGATGAGGTCAGCAATGGAGGCCTTTTTGGGACGCCCATCATGGGTTGTCTCTGTCTTGGAGCCTCTTCTTTTTTTGAGTGTGAAGAAATCACCGAGTTTCCGTCTTAGTGTTTTTGTTGGGGCTGGGCAAGGGTTGGAGCTGGCTGGAACCACTTCTTGAACTGTGATTGCTTCTTCCTCCTGCTTTTTCCTATATAAAGAAACACATCATATAAAATATATACACAAAGTCTACAAATCCAATCTTAATCCATCGATTAAGATTTTAGAAGTCAATTTAAACCTGAGATACTCACAGTATATCCAAAGGAAGCACTTTCTTTGTGAAGAACTCTTCAACCCCTTCATCCACCCTTCCCATGTGATCAAGAACTTCATTTTCACTCTCAAATATTGTCTCCTGATGATCACACACAATACAGACAGATATTTTCATCACTGATCATGTAATTCGTGCTGAAGAACAACTTGTATCATATGCAACTTTACATTACATAACTCTCACCTCTGTAAAACCCACACACTCTGGCACGAGTGTTTCTCCGTTCTATATGAGTGTATTTTTGTTTGAATATCTCCTACAATAATGCTATCTGGGACACAGTTGCTCAGTAACATACAATGGGTGGGCAGGTTTGTATTTTGCATGAGGAATGGAAATAAGATAACTGATTTTTGCCAGTGTAGGTAATGTGATATCACAACTGCAGCATCATCCTGATCATATTAACATCTGTGCCCACAAGTAGCAATAATCCAATCCAGGGTTGGCTGCAGGACACAAATTCAGCAGAAGTCACATACATGTTACATGATATCCAGCCATGGGAATTGCTCAAATTTTGTCTCCCCAGCCATTTGTGTCCGAATGAGTGATTATGGGTCTACAGACTGATAGCTCAGTTTTGAAATGAACATTTCAATGGAACTTGAATATAACCACACATATCCCAGATGTCTGACACAAGCCTAAAAATAGAAACAAATGACAAAAGCATCTTTCCAAATAAGGTAAGAAAATACATTCACATCAAATTAGATCCTTCACTGTGCCTTTTGACAGAATAAATAACAGTGCAGGTTTTTTCACTCTGCTGTGATTAGTATAAAAGGACAGTCCAATTCATGGACCAGGGATCTTTTGCAGCAATACTCCCCCTCGATCCTTTCCCTTCCCCCTGCCTCTCCCCTCTCTACCCTTTCCATTTCTCTACCTCCCCCCTATTCTACCATGTTTCTCCTCACACACCATTTTTGATAAAACCCCTGTGATCCTCCCTCACCGTACCTGTGGTCTGCTAGGACGATAGTTCAGTTTTTGTCGATGAGGTCTTGGTCTGCTCTGGGTGTAGTGCCTGAGAGCTGGTCCGCCCAATGGCAGCTCCATTGGGGAGACACGGCACGCTGTTGCCGTGGAGCTCTGTTGCCTTGGCTCTGTTGCTGAGCACCGTTGCTAAGAGCTTAAGCAGCAGCAGTATGTAATGCCTCCACAGAGTTGGGAGGGGCGAGACCAGGCAGGCCTGGCTAGACTGACAGATCTGACAACATGGCCTCGCCTTTTCTGCCCCCCTCCCTCTTATCTGAGAGGAAAACTGAGAAAGGTAGTGATAAAATGAGAAGAGGAAGAAAGGGAGCTGAGTGACCTTCTTGATGGTTGATTCATCTATACATTCTGGTGCACCTAAAATCTAAAATGAACAAAATGTTCCGCTGGTTATGTAACAAATTAATAATTTATTATACAAGCAGAAAAGATGTTAAGACATGCTATCTCAAACTGACATGTATATTTCTCTAAAATAAAAAACAGCTATGCTCATGCAGATTCATACTGATCCTCAATATTTATCAAATACATTTTTTATGACACCACTAGGAATTATCCTAAACAGATAACGAGGATGTCATTTTTTGATAATTAGCTAAAAACTCATTCATGTGGACAATCTTCTATAAATATATAAAGATATAAAAAATCCTTATCCTAGACTGTTTACTACAATTGTAAAAAAACCAAAACTTGTTAAGTATGTATTGTATGTTCGTTTTTAAATCTAATCAACACATTTTCTCTGATAATTATTTGTCCTTCTCTGTTCCTGCATGTTTTTTTTTTTTTTTTTTTTTTTAGGGAAAAAAAAGGTTTCTTTTTTTTTGTTGCTTTTTTTTCCCTAAAAAAACCATATTCTCTGATAATTATTTGTCCTTCTCTGTTCCTGCATGGTTTTTTTTTTTTTTTTTTTTCTCAGGAAAAATAAGAGTTACTCTTTTTTAGCTGCTTCTTTCAGCATAACAAACGCATAGCTCATTTTAAACATGTCAGATTTTATACTAAATACATCAGTCGTACTATGTAAGCCACTGCTGCGTCTTTTCAAATGGAATACGACAGTCTTTTGAATGACCAACTAAAGGGTGGTCAAGAAGAAACCATGCATTTGGAGAAAACTTAATGAAAAGTCAATTGATTGTCAATTCCTTGCGTCTGCGTCAGTCATTTATATTCAAATTTTATACCGCCATCTTGTGGTTGACTTACTTAATGCTTTTTTACCGCAAAAGCAGAAAAATAAATGTAATAACTAAAAGTTTAAATTAAAAATGTGCCAATGTTACGATATACAGACCAGTATATTTCTATCAATAATAACAAATGAACCCATAAAACAAGACAAAGAGGGCATATTGCATAATAAAAGCAATACCTCTGTGCATCCCCTGATTGCATGTGTTAGTGAGTGGCAGAGCATGTTTCACTTGATTAATTTGCATAGTAGGCTTCTCCTTCAAAGAAAAAGCAGCAACTATTTTGCTAGGCACATATTATAGGCCTTATTTTACTTAAGCAAATTATTTATCAATTTACAACACATACTTATGTGCATACAGATAATTGCTATATACTAAATCCTCTCCAAGAACCACACTTGAAGTATTTAAGGCGTTGCAAACTTTCAAGTATTAAATGTTGTTACTTTAATACATTCTACTTCATCTTTATTCAATAAATTATGATTGAAATATTGTTGTACATTTGTAATCCGTATTAATCTTCAAAAGATTAGTCCACAAATCTGATAAAGAATTGAAAGTGAAATCAGATGAGTTACACAGCGCGTTTTTATCCAAATGATGTAACAGTGTCTCCAACTCTTAGTGGTGTTTTTGTGTGTGTGTCTGTGAATAATTATTAAAATACTATGTGTCCTTTTGTTTAATCAATACTGTTAGCAGCCATCTTTGTTTTGAACTTGGGTTTCTTTGTGTTGCAAAATGATGAATAGTGGTAACAACACCTTAAGGTGTGGTCCTATTGCAATTTACAACAAAAACCCCAGCTCTGACTGGATTATGTACAATTGTAAGGTTGTTAAATGCTGACTACAGCTACAAAGTCATACATTAAGCAGTTGGTGTTGCAGTGGTGATGTTGTAGCTACTAACTAGTTAGTTCTACTATATTTGTCCGAACAAAATAAAAAAAACAGAGCCAATTCTTGAGATATAATTTAACTTAAAGGCTGTATAAGAACGTGGTCAAATGAAACTCCCAGATAATCCGATTGAACTACATGGCCATCCTCGTCACGTTTCCACGCCCCCTCCAGGATTCAAATCTGGCGCCCACATCTTGGCTCTCTCAGGTCCTCCACTCCCCTTCAGTCCCTCGGGCGCTCTCTCCGCGCAGCCGCGTCGTCACTCACCACGAGCCGCCATTTTGTGTGAGGCCCACTCATGTAAAGCGGGAGAAAAATATTACCCCGCCGCGCAGCAGCTACGTGCTAGAGTTGGACGGACTAGAGCGAACGCAGTAGCGGAGATACAAGACCAATAAAAAGAGGAAAAGAACCCACAAGGAGTAAGTAAAGCTGCTTCTCTGCCTCCAAACACGGGTAGGTTTTTGTAGGAGCCGTCGCCGGCCTCTAGGTGTCACGGTAGGGCTTACCGGCCAGGCAGTTGGCGGGGGGTGTTTGTCTCCCTCTATCGTTATCCAAAATGCACTAAATCCGTATATAAACTGCAACTCATTGTCCAGGTTGATAATGTTGTTGTTATTGGAATGATATTTGAAAACAATCCTACGAGAATGGTTAGATTTAAATGCGTACATGATTTAAGTTTGTTCGGGCCCGACGTCCATCTTATCGTGTTCTTTGTTTCCTGTTTTCCGACATAGTCGCGCCTGCAGAGTTAAACCAACTATCACGAGTCAAGTAGTTTTGTATCTGTTTAGCCTGCCTTATTTTTTCCTTGAATTTATCCCACTTTTACTTACAAAATAAAATGTTAGTTAGCCCAGTCGTGTCGTACATTTTTGTGGTGATGATGGATTAATCGTCCTTATGGGGTTTCTGATATTTGCAAATAGTTGAACTCAATCAAATAGTCCTATCAACAGCAGAGGGAGCTCATCAACTACTTGAACGTTGACCTCTAACAGTATATCTTGTGAAATCGGAAGAAACATAACATTCAGGTTTGTGAAGTAAAATGTTTCAAATGCGAGTGATTATATCAATTGTATTTTTCTGTGCGTTCAGACTACGCTACGTTCAGATTACTTTTTTTCTAAATTTCATATGTTAGGTTGAGTCAGTTAAAGTGGATATTCCAGTTATTTGTGTTTCGGTGGCGGGACTACCTCACCCACCATACGTTTATTTGTCCATCTTTGACGAACTTACACTAACTTTGTTTATTTACAGATTAGAAGATTTTCTCGTTTATCAATACATCAAAAATAATGATGCTTTAGGTAAAACAACACCAGACCTTTCTTTTTATAGAACGAAGATTTACAAAGCTGCATTGCTTGGTAAACTGAGTGCAGTTCCCTTATTCCAAAGTAAAATTGTGACTGTTCTAGTTGCTAGTGTGTGCTCTATGGAAGTGTAGTAGAGATCGAATATACAGTAGCTGGCCAACACATTTCATGATGTAATTCAAAATAACAATCCACGTATAAAAGCAATGTGGTGTAGCCTGCCTTTTGCTAGCTCTTATGTTTTGATTCAGATAGCTTGACATTTTTTATTTTATTTCTAGAGGTACTGAAACTGTAGATTTAGAAATTTGAGTAAACTTCACAGCTACAAAGACATGCATCGATCATAAGGAAAGCACAAAAAGGTTGTGGTTATTTACCTTGTTTTAATTTTGTCCTTGTTATCAGGTTGCTTGGCCTGTTGCCATGGATGGCGAGGTTGTTTCCATGGATGCATCTCAGGCTGCTGCCCTTGCCTCTGATGGAAAGGTCCTGACAGAAGGTGGAGAGGCCTTGATGCAAGGGACAGCCATTGCTTCACAGGGGGAAGTTGCTGGTAACATGGAGATGATGGTGATGGATGCTCTTGATCCAACTCTGCTGCAGATGAAGACAGAGGTTTTGGAAGGAGGAGGAACAATGACAGTCACTGGTGGAGATGAGGGACAGATCATCACACTCCAGGTAAGGACAGATCACATAATAAGTTAGTTATTTGTTGCCCCGATTCTTTAATGTAGTCTTAAGTTTTCTCAGTGATAATCTTATGATTTGGTGTTTGTAGGTGGTGAATATGGAGGAGCAAGCTGGTGCGGCATTAGGCCTCGGTCAGCTTCAACTGGTTCAAGTTCCAGTAACAACCACGACTGGAGAAGGACTTCAGGCCACATATGTGGATGCTTCAGCTGGTAACAAGGATGCAGAGCCTGTAATCTGTCACACCCTCCCTTTGCCAGAAGGATTCCAGGTAAATAGTAAAATTAAGTTGAAAAAATTTGGGTATGTATTAAAACTATGAGAAAGCTAAGCAGGTCCTTGATGTTTTCTTTAGGTTGTAAAAGTTGGTGCCAATGGTGAAGTAGAAACTGTAGAACAAGAGGATCTTGGTGTAGCTCCTGAGGAGTTAGATGGTGCAGTAGAAGATGAGGAGGAGATGGCAGATGCAGCTGAGGTAGAAGCTTCAGTGCCTCCAGAAGAAGACCCAGAATGGACAAAGGACCCAGACTTTACTCCAATCACCACTATCCGCAAAGGAAAGAAAGGGAAAAAGAGTCGCCTACGCTATGCAGAGGGTGACCGTGACATGGATGTATCTGTGTATGACTTTGAAGAAGAACAGCAGGAAGGTCTGTTGTCAGAGGTGAATGCTGAGAAGGTAGTTGGCAACATGAAGCCTCCAAAGCCCACCAAGATCAAGAAAAAGGGTTTGTCACTTTTGGAAGTATTTATACATTTAAAATAAATGCATCATATTCCTAACGACCTGTGATCCTTTCTGTGCACAGGTGTAAAGAAGACTTTCCAGTGTGAACTTTGCAGCTACACCTGTCCAAGACGATCAAACCTGGACCGACACATGAAGAGCCACACAGATGAGAGGCCTCACAAATGTCACTTGTGTGGAAGAGCCTTCAGAACAGTCACACTGCTGAGGAACCATCTGAATACACACACAGGTCATTAGAATGTTCTGAAATAACAGATTTGCGTTTACTAAACTTACACTATACAAAAGATTATATGTTTCATTTTTTTTCCAGGCACTCGTCCTCATAAATGCACGGATTGTGACATGGCATTTGTGACCAGCGGTGAATTGGTGCGCCATCGTCGTTACAAGCATACACATGAGAAACCCTTCAAGTGCTCTATGTGTGACTACTGCAGTGTGGAGGCAAGTCGACAATGGAAAACCCTATATTAAGTCAATGCACCCTGTTTTATACAGAAGCTGTGTTTTAATCATTTTAAACATTTTCACATCAGGTGAGCAAATTGAAAAGACACATCCGTTCTCACACTGGAGAGCGACCCTTCCAGTGCAGCCTGTGTAGCTATGCCAGCAGAGACACATACAAGCTGAAGAGACACATGAGGACACATTCAGGTAAGAACAAGTTATTGTGGTAGAGCTGCTGACAAGTATAAACACACTATGTCACTATTCTAAATGGTCATGTGAATTTCATAAGAATTTTTTTTTTTTTTTACTTGTATTCCTTGCAGGTGAGAAGCCATATGAATGCTACATCTGCCATGCTCGATTCACACAGAGTGGTACCATGAAGATGCACATTCTGCAGAAGCACACAGAGAACGTGGCGAAATTCCATTGCCCGCACTGTGATACAGTCATTGCACGCAAAAGTGACCTTGGTATGTTCTATATCACACACAGTAAATGCTTCTAGGTCCTGTAGCGCCTTGCCTTACCATCTCGTCATTCCTATATCAGGTGTTCATTTGCGAAAGCAGCACTCCTTCATTGAGACGGGAAAGAAATGCCGCTACTGTGATGCTGTTTTCCATGAGCGTTATGCTCTCATTCAACATCAGAAGACTCACAGGAATGAGAAGCGTTTCAAGTGTGAACAGTGTGACTACTGCTGCAGACAGGTTTGTTTTACTTGGAGAACTTTTCATCTTCATCACATTGCACATAGTATGATGCTTTTAATCATTTGTTTTCCACTGTTGAATATCTGCTCCTTTTTTTTGTTTCAACCCACAGGAACGCCACATGATAATGCACAGACGAACACACACTGGCGAGAAGCCATTTGCCTGCACCCAGTGTGACAAAACGTTCCGTCAGAAGCAGCTTCTGGACATGCACTTCAAGCGCTACCATGACCCCCACTTTGTTCCCACAGCTTTCGCCTGTGCCAAGTGCAACAAGACATTTACTCGCAGGGTAGGACTTGACTTACAGATGTGTACATATGTTTAATGTTTTTTCCCAATCTGTGATGATCCTGATTTTCCTTCTCTTTTTTTTGCCCCACAGAACACAATGCTGCGTCATTCTGACAACTGCAATGGTGAAAGTGGAGGAGAAGAAAATGGAACCCCCACACCCAGGAGGGGACGTCGTGGTAGAAAGAGGAAGATGCAGGCCAGAACTGACAGTGATGATGACACAGGTACTGTGTCTTTGAAATGATGGCAAATTATCTAGGGTTAATAAATACTATCAATGGTGTTTGACATATTTGCTAATTATACTTTTTTGTGCAGAGGGTGATGTTGATGAGGAAGAGGAGGAGGAGGAGGAAGATCAGCTGCTGTCTGAGATGGAGGTGGAACAAGCTCCACCAGTTGTTCCCATCCCAGCCCCAGTGGAGCCACCAGTCAAGAGGAAACGTGGACGCCCCCCAAAGAACAAGCCACAGAGTAAGTGTTGAGCTCATTTTTTGAGACCTGTTGATATCTTGATTTGCTTGTTCAGATCCCCTTCTTAAATACTTCAACCTTTACACCATGGACTGCTCTAATTAAAAAATACTTGATACAAAGCACATTGTACACAGGCACCTCCACCATAGTCAAGTGGTTGTCCACAAAAATCACAGCATGGAGAAAGTCTGACAGGAACACTTTTCTTGACAGCTGCAGCTGTTATCCGTGTCGAAGATGAGGCCACCGGGGAGATTGATGACATCATTGTAAAAAAAGAAGTTGGAGCAGTACCGGAAGAGCAGGAAGAGGACATCGAAGGTGCTGTACAAGAGGTGGTTGTGGGTGGAGTGAAGTCCACCATTGAGATGGAGGAGTTGCCCCAGGAAGAGGGAACACCACAGCTGTCTGAGGCCCCACCTAATGGAGATCTGACCCCTGAGATGATCCTCAGTATGATGGACCGGTGATGGACCTGAATCAAGTCCCAGGCCTTGACTACACCTTCTTTAATTCTTGGCATTTAGGATCGCAAACACTTTACATCAGGCACAGCAGCAGAAATCACTTGTGTATTTTTATTTTTTGGATTTTTCTTTTATTATTAATCTGCACCAGGTATCAAGACTGGGATGACATGAAAAATTTTAAATAAGAGATATTTACCAAAAACAACTTAATTTTGTTATTTTTAAGCAGCTGTTATTGACAGTAGTAAATAAAAATTAGGCGTTGCAAAAAAATTCCACTAAAATTATAACGGAGAACCGAAATAGTGGATTTTGATTGGTACTCAAACCCACTGTGCTAAAACTACACTGATCATGTACCTGTCATCAGAACATGGCCAACGTACTACCACTGTTTTATTCATTTTAATTATTTTTTTTTTTATAGTTCTTTGGGAACATCACAACCAACAAAGTCAGTTTTTAAGCAGAAATTTGCAATACATACTGCTGTTAATCACAACTGCTTAAATGGTAAAAACACATTTTGAATATTTCTTTTGGGTTTCCTTTCTGTGGTTAGTAGATATCTTTTTAAGTATGTTTTAAAGCTTAATAGACTGCTTATCTTAAACTCCCTTTTCCTGACTGTAACAGCCCCTAGATGATGCTTATGTACTAAACACTGTCTTTGATAAGTGCAAGGAAAAAACTGATGTATTGCTGTTTTGTAGCCATTCCACTTTGGGTTGATTTTTTTTGTTTGTTTGTTTTTTGTTTTTTTGGTCTTTTGTACAATTGGCAATGCTACATTTTAGCTTGAAAGACATAACTGGCAAATGAGAGCAGTGTATGAATATATGACAAATAAAAACATGACATCACAGCTGCTTTTTTTTTTCTCAAATCTCATCTTCCCATCTGCAGGATGTTGCAGCTGAATGACATTTTAAAAAAGAACTTCTTTTAAAATGCAGCAAAAAGTTTAACCTGAATTGTTGTTCCCCTTAATTAGCTGAGAGTCGACTGTTAAAACTGAATTCAGTGTATTTTGCTTGCAACTATATTTTATTAAATTGAAGAAATGAAGTTGTTCTCTATGACTTTGATTTACATGACAATGCCATGTGTCGTTCTTATGAGTTATTTGATATGTGGGGGTGTGGCACATGTCTGTATATTAAGAGAATTGTTAAATTGCTAAACACAGTCCAGCTCCCACTTCTGGATCTGTTTTTGCAGACTTGTCCTTAAACATGTTTAGATAGAGAAAAACCCAATTTATCCAAAAATAAAGGATGTTTTGGCAAATTTTGTCTAACATGGACAACATCCTGCATGCTCAACTTTAGCAGGAAGTGTCAGCCTAATGTCATAAGTATACTTTATAGGAGCATGGCGAGTACGCTAACAGAGAAGCAAATTTATGGCATGGAAAACCGGCCATACAAATATTTCCCTCCCACATTTACAACAAGGGATTACAATGCACCTCAACCAATGAGATGGGCGTAACTATAATCAGAGCAGAAATGTGCAGTGGGACTGACAGATGTTGGCTCATGTTTACTCCTGTTGTTTTAGGCCAGTGGAGACAGTATAGGTAAATTAATTCAAATGCCTGAGGTCAAACAATGCAAATGGATATGGTGCAAAAGGTGGTTGAAGATTTTGCAGTGCAATGACAAAAGTTGAGGTAAAAAGAACAAAAACCTATGTTGTGATAGGTTATCTGCAGAGATTTAGTTTGTCACAGACCTTAGGCTAGAGGGTGAGATTTCTCTTTGGAAAATATGAGCAGATCAGATAAAAAGATGCGACTGGAGACTTTTGAGGTTAATTAAGAGAGAATAAAAAGGGAGGACATGAAGATTGTTGATGTGACAGGAGAGAAACAATGTTATGCCGGTAAATAATCTGCTATGGCGCCCCTCCCCCCCGGATATTTTTGCTTTTATTTTTTAAACAATTATGAAAATTAGCAAAGAAAAAAGTTTGAATTCCTCTTGGCAGTCACCAGTGATTCCCTTTAACAAAGTGTCAGTGGCAGGAGTGTGATGTCCTATTTAGTTCAGACGGCAACAGTGACACTAAAACACAATCAACCTGTCACATGTGCTGTGTCACATGAATTTTTTGCACCATGTGAGATTCTTGTGTTGAGACTGATTAAATCTGCCTTCAACATTTGGGCATTCCATTATTCCCAACATCCAATGGTTTTCTCTCATATATAGCAGTTCTGAAAATAAATACATTTTTAAAAAGGAAAATTGAGAAATTAGTCACAGAAAATAGCTTAAATGACGATAAACAAATTAACATTCATGAGGCCATTAGCAATAACAAACCTCAATAATTCAATATTATATATATTCAATTAAATGTCTGCATACTACACATACAAGTACTAAATTTATAGTTTTCACGATTTAAAAATGTAATTCGTTGTTTTTGCAACATTGTTCTTCTACTAGTACAGTACATCAAACTGTACAAGCAATATACAAATGTGTACAAATACACAACTAATCACACTAATTTAAATTAATGCTCATTTAAATAAAGTAAACCTTGCGTATAGGCCTGAGTCGTTTCTAAACTTTGGGAAGAAATATAATTTAATCGATGATCTGTTCACGGTTAAATACTTTATGGGGAAGGTGAATTGCATCAGTCCGTTTTTTCCCCAACTGCAACGTCCTGTTTTAGAGGAAATTGTGAATCTCTAAAAAAGGAAAAAGAAAAAACAGCGCCACATGCTGTCTTCACCTCTTGTACCCCGCTCACTAACTGGTCCTGCTCAAAGTCGGACACTCCAGCAGCCTGAGACAAACACATTTTACAGTGAACCTCCATGTTTGACCACTGATCCTCTGCTATAACTGAGGCTGTAAAGGAGCAAGACACCACAGACGTGTCTCCTGCTTTTAGTCCTTGGGAAACATGGAGTCTTTCTGTGACTACTGCTGCTGTTTTTTCCGCTGCTTCATCACAGCGGCGTCGCCAGCACAGCATAAGGAGCAACGGTCTGACAACACAGTGACAGAGTGAAGAAGGGGACATCCCTGTCACCACTGTAACAACACATCCGTGACTTCCGGATACAACATCTACATTTCAAAATAAAACGTATAACATAAACGTGTGTTGAAAATCGCAGTTCATTTCATTTCGTTAAGCCATTGGCGGTCCTAGACTATTGGGCGCCCTGAGCCAAATGGCCGCCACCCAACTGCATCAGCTTCCATTCTGACGAAATCAAAAGTTTAAGCCTCGGTGGCATAGTCAACAATATTCAACATTCATCTTAAAAAAATGTGACTTTCTGTGACTAAACATATAACAAGAAATCTAAATTGGACTTATACTATTATACTTAATGTGAGGGAAATCATCCAAACAAACTGCATCACTTCTAAAACAAAGAAACATTTAATTGTTATTTTACTATTTACGAAAGAAACTCACAATCTCTTCTGAACCCAAATACAAATTGTGCTCTGCACACAAGAAAGCCCACTCTGCTAACCATGCTGCTGCACACTTTTCTTTGTATTGTATTCACAGAGTAATCTCATCTCAGCAAAATTGCCCGACCACCCTAAGCATTTGGTTTTTAATGCTTATATATTTTCATCCCACAAATGTATCAAAACTTACAAAAGAAAGGGACACCACTACGTTCTTGTCGATGAAGTTGTTGCCTAATAGTCCTTTGTTTTTCGACCGCCTTTGTGATGCTTTATTCTGAAAATGCTAACCGGATGTTATGAGTTTTAACTTGAGACCTTTTGACTGTGGACAAAAAAACTGCGAAATCCTGGAGAAGGACAGCGCCCAGAAGAAGACAAACCTTTGCTGGGGCTGGGAATGGGAACGCGGTGTATCTGTGCCGATCTCTGGAGTGTGAAACTAAGGTAAGAGCTGAGGCTTAGACTGGCCAAGGTCACCGCGGGACTCATGTGAAAATGTTTTCTCTTTACATGGGCATGAGGATGGGCATGGTGGAGGAGGAGATGATTCGGTCGACGTGAAGTTGCTTTGCTGGGATGGTGTCGACATAATGGGACTCTGAAACTGTAGGTTTTGGTTGAGTCTAAGGTAGTTTCAGGCAGGAGGAAACGGGGGAGGAGGTGGTCGTGGCTCCTGCTCCAGTCGTGGAGTGGACTTTTTTTTTCTATGGCCTGTGGTGCTGATGAGCTCTGTGGGTTGGCTGCGTGTGTGTGTGTGTGTGGAATACAAACAGGCTGTGAAGAAAGTTCGCTGCCTAAACTTGGTTCCCAGTGAAATTAAAGAACCGGACTATTGACAGTTAGAGACGTAATCCCAATCTGTGTCTTCCTGTGGTCGATTACTCAAGGATAATCCACTAATCTGGAAAGAGGAGGCGTTTTATCACCCCTCACACCAGTACCCCTCTTACTCATCTTCCTGTTCATGTGCCTACTGTTCCACGGACTTAAAATGTGGACGTACACATTTAAAATGATTTAATTGAATTTAATGATTTAATTAAGTATCTTATGTGGAAAATCAATTACCATTTCATTTTTGACCACTAATCTGTCAATTTGACGATGTGTTTACATAAAATCAATTATCATTATTACTAATAGTTTTGACATAAAAAAGCCGCATATGTGTTTTATAAATGTTTACACCAAAGTCAAAATGTTACGTCATAAATACCAGGAGTACAGATTATTCAATAGCTAAATTGATTTTAAGAATACACCAAAATACACCAACGTACATGTGAACGACGAGTTTGTACTGGGGTTTAAAATATTAATTTTGTTATATTTATTATACTGAATGTAATTAAATCATTAACAGCGATGTTCACTCAATTTCAAATTCAAACCTAAAATGTTAATGGTGCTGTTTGTGCAGTCAGTACATCAAACCTAAAGATGTTAAAACAGTGTACTGTATAACTAATAATAACTGATTGAAGTAATTCTGAGATTCTTTCTCAAACTGGGCTATATATTTTTTCGTAACATGAAAAGCTGTTTTAAACAAACTCCAGTCTTGTGAATTGACTGGAAACAGTGTCGCCTTTGTTCCCTTTGCTGTGTGTTGAGAATTAATGCAGCTAATGATCTCTAATGTCAGAAGGAGGATAAAAGCACATCTGACAGGGAGGAAACAGTTGGTCTTGTAGTGATTATGATCAGTGACACCATTAATATAACTGTAAAGCCTTTATAGTTTAGTTCTTTCTATCGCTCTGTGTTGGAGCGTATGAAATTAGCGCTCTTTTTCTCTTTATGTTGGATTTTCATCACGACTCACACCTTATGGTCCAGACCTAAGGCCTGGTCCTGCAAAATTTATGAAAATGAGTTCCTCAGTTTATTACTTTCTATCACGTTTGCCACTCACCACAATACATTTAATTTAATATATAAATATACATATTAAATAAAAATGAGCACTGCACACGCGCAGCTAGTACATGATACATTCTAAAATATCTTTGAACCTAATGAAGGGTTGTGTTGAGGCTTTTTCCCCCATTAATTAGTGAAAGACTAAATAAATGTTTTTTCAAAGGATTTTCAAGACTGGTGTTTATGTGTAGCCTAAAAGAAAACCTAAACAAAGTCTTGTGTGACTGAGTCGTGCAGCCCTACAGATGTGGAGTAAAATTGTGTACTATTTTACAGAGGTACTATTTTACTCTGTACTATTTTACAGAGTAAAATAGTACCAATAGTACTATTTTACAGAGTAAAATAGTACCATCACATTAGTCTTTCTTGTTTTGAATAACTGCTTACCAGGATTTCCCTGAGGTGTAATCTACTGTCAGCCTTATAGGACAAAGTTTAACAGTAGTTGATGTATTCAAAGCAATAATGTTGTACAGCTACCTCAACACATACACTTGGGCATCCAGGCTAGCTATTGTAGCTCCTGAGGTATAAAAAAATATTATTATATGGACAATGTTTTCAGTACTGTCACAAAAATCCCATCATGCTTACAGTTACATTTCATAGCAGCTGAGATTGGCCAATTTTGACCTGACCACTGGCAGAAGCTCCTCTGGAGCCCATACCCTCACTGTGCGGCAGTAGAACTTACAACATTGTTAACAGGTTACCCTCATGTTAAAATTGTCTAATACACCATTAACAGGTGAATAACCTGATGATCCCACGACAGATAAGAGTGTGTGATGTTGACGTCACTCCTGTTGGGGAGTTCAGTGCAGGACAATGAAGAGCAGATCCTGTCAGTGTCTCTTCTTTGTGCCGCCTCACTCCCTGATCTCATGTCTTAATATGGGTTTGGCTTGTGCTTGGCAGATTTACTGTGGTCTAAGCCTGTAATCTCTGTTGTGACTAGATTACCGCAGTCAAGACCCTTCCTTCTTTAGTTACCCACCCAGACTACTGCTCACTTATTTCAGGGTTGTATTATTTTTTTCACTTCTGCTTTTATCCTCTCTAACAGTGTGGAGGGATGGTTTTAGATTATGGAGCCAAACTTCTCTGTGTAGAATTTCCTGTGTAGAGTCAGCCATCAGACTTCCTGTGTGGAGGGGGTGGAGAAGAAACAGGGAAGGAAGGGGAAGAAAAAAACAAGCAAAGTGTACTGTTGCCACTGGCGGCCTGTGTGGCTGCAGCTTCTTAGACTTTTAACAACAACACTGTGACCTGACTGAGGAACCTGGGGACTAGTTGTTGTCCTCTGCCCATCCCCAGTTTTTTTATTTTGCTGACATTTATACATATCTGACTCATGTAATCACAGACCAGAGGAAGTTTTCCTGTCACAGGTACAGTGAGGTATGAGGAGCCAGAGATAATCTCAGTCTCTAATGTCTTCTTTTGTGTATAATTACAGGACATGTCTGTAGGTTTGTTGAGACCACAGTGTGACACTCAGCCTTCCAAGCATGCTACAATAGTGACAATAGCTCTGTGTTCCACAGGTGAGTGGCATTTACTCTTCTATTTAAAATAGCTAGAGGCAGATTCCTTGATGGTCATTTAAATCCATGAGGAAGTCTTATCAGAGCTGATCCCTGCCTCTCTCTCCTTCTTCCGCAGCACTTTGCACTTAATCTAAGACAAACGTGCCTTGTAAGGAAGCAGGATGTTCACGGGATCCACCAAACTGCCACCCACTAAAACTCCCCAGCCCGAGCGGCTGGATGAAGTCTATGCCGCCTTGCGTAGGGGCTTACAGTGAGTAAACACTTCTCCAGACCTGCTCAAGGCTATGATCCCAGCACATGGTTGACAGCTGGAAAATAACTGCAAACACAGGAAGTGAGTAATTTTCGCTTGTATTCTTTTCCCTGTCAGGTCGTACCTGCAGGTCCATCAACTAGAGCTGGACAGTCTGGGTCAGCAGATCAAAGAAAACAAGAGGAACGGTCGTTTGGTAAGGGCCCACACCGTCAGACCAGTCACACCAGAAAATTATCTGCATGAAAGTAGCAGACCTAACTTCTCAGTTGAAGTGTTAACTGTGAAAGTCATTGAATTGATTTTATTTGTTGTTACTACAGGGCTCACTGTATGAGCAGGATAAGGTGAGTTTCCTTAACATGTCTTTCACACAGACAGTAAACTACTTAAAAGGAAAGATGAGGTGTTTATGTTTGTTTTGTGCTCTTGTAGCAAGTGAAAGCCATTGAGAGATTTATGCGCCGCTTGGAATTCCACCTCAGCAAGGTGGGTATGAACAGATAATATAATATCATATCATATAATATAGTACAATACAATACAGGGGTCGGGAAACTTTTTTTTAGCAGAGAGAGACCAACAAACAAGACCAATAATTTATAATAATTCAGAGTATAACAAGACTCTGAAGTATAACAAAAGTTATTAAAGTTATTTAAAAAATGAATAACGTTCCTACCTAATAACGTACAAAACAGTTTATTACACACCACGTATGAAAAATCTAAATTTATCGTACGGTCATTAAATGCAACATCCCTGCGGATTAGAGTCGTGAACCCCGGGGAGCAGTGGTCGGCTCTGCAGTCCTTATGGTAAGTGCACATGTTAGGAGGTCCGTCATTAATGAATTTTTTTATTTTAATTTTATCATGAACGGTACTATTATTTATTTTATATTTTCAGCGTGAGACGTGTGTGTGTTGCTACAAAATGGACAGACTTCGTTTTCACTTTTTATGCCAGAAACAAAAGATGACATACCAAGCTGATGATTTTTACTGCATTATTTAACACATTATTTAACACATCACAAAGAGAGTACGCTGCCGCCACACAATACACAATTTTTTTAAAGATTATTTTAACACTATGCTTTCTGTAATGTTTTACTTGAATATCAACAAAATTATTTATTACTTATTGTGTTGAGAAATGCCAGCTAAGAATTATCTGAGAGCCAAATGCAGTCATCAAAAGAGCCACATCTGGCTTGTGAGTCATAAGTTTCCGATCCCTGATATAATACAATATAACATAATATATCAAAATATTATATTATATAATAGGATCACACAGCGGGGGAACTGGTCAGAGCTCCTTCCTTACAGAAGGGAGGATAGTGCTGGCTCAATCCCTAATCTTAAAAAAAGTAATATAATGTATTTATTACAAATATAATATAATAAAAGCAACTGTTTTTTTTTTTCAGGTTGAAGAGCTATACGATGCCTATTGTATACAGCGGCGGCTGCGTGATGGAGCCAGTAAAATGGTGGCGGCTTTTAACTCAGCCACTGGCAGCAGGGAGGCAAGAGAGAGTCTGAGTGAAGCCAACAAGGGCTTCAAAGAATGTACAGAGGTGAGAGAGGGTCTGCAGCTAGACATTACTGTGCTGCAATAATCTAGTAAAAACATTCTACCTGGTAGAGATGTATATAGTGCCAATGTTTGACAACAAAAAGGTCACTGGTCTGCAGCTTCGACAATGAACTTTCTCGCTAGAAGTTCTCATGTTCTCTCATGTGCACGTGTGTATTTGTGGCCCTGTGATGGACTGGTGTAGAGTTCAGGGTGACTCATAACTTTCTGTCATTCTAGCAGGGTTAATTGAAAGAAAATTCTTAAAAGTTTCAATCCAGGTTATTGGGAGAAATGAAGCTGCCCATAGGTGTGAATGTTAGTGTAAATGGTTGCCAACAGATGTGGCTCTGTGTCCGACGAGTGCTTTGTACTGAATTAACTGCTTTTCCCATGTTGTCAGTTAGAGGTACTATGGCCAAAATAGGTATTATTTATTTCTGAAAAGAAAAAAAAATCTGCAGTGTGTCATCGCCCAGCTCTTCCTATGCCCCTTCCCATCAGTCCCTCTTCCTCAGCACACTTCCTTTCTCATTCTCACTGTTCCCCTTCCTTTCCTGCTCACTACAACAATCTTTTTATTATGGAGTAGACACACACTCACTTAATGCTTATTTACCAGGATTGTATGTGGATCATCAGTTTACAGCAGTACACATGAGGTTACTTATCTGAATGCTGTGCCTGATCCGATAGATCACACACAATACGTGACGTCATGCTGATGCATGTGTCTAATGTGGTGTGTTTACTGTTTTGCTAAATGTGTGTGACTTTAAATGTACTTTTATGTATGTAGCTCTGTGCTGGAATTTTAAACGATGAGTGTTGGGGGGGTTCCAACTCTAACTCTGCATCGTAATTGCTTTGAGTCTGTATTTAATTTCCAAATAACACTGTAAGAATCATCAAACCAGTAATACATATTTTTTGAATGTCTCTTTTGAGCTAAGCTTCACCAAACAACAGTCTTTTAGAGCTTTTCAGAATAACGATGCTTTAAATATAACCCTAGCATAATAATACTCAGGCGAATACCCAGATACAACACACGTTGATTTGGAACTTCAGACAATCTGAGATTTACTTGAACAAAGATTCCACTTTTGATCTTGAACTTTTCTTTTTGAAATTCTGTAGTAAATTCTGAACTGTTATAGTTTTTCTTTTAAAAACAGCTGTATATATGTACCGTCTCCCTATATTCTGGAAAATGCCATGGGCAGAAATACTGGTAATATGACAGTGTAGAGGAAGTTACTGTAAGTGTGAGCCTGTCAGTTTGTTCTGTCAAAGGCTGTCAAACACATCAGTTGATTTCATGCTGAAAGACATCACAACTATGTGCAGTTTGCTGTGTTTGGATTTCATGACCTGAAACCAAAAGCCTGAAGAAGTGGTTGAGCTTCATTATCTTCCACTTCAGATGTCACAGTGGGCTGTTGTTTCTCGCAGAGTAGGAAAATGTTCAATGTTACAACTTTTCCAGTTACACTAGCTACAACATGCTTTGCAAAACAGTCATTCCTCACACAGCGATGAGTCGGACTCTGTTTCTGTGTTACCTCATCACAGGCCTCAGGAGAAAAAGTCAAGACTTCCACCAATGTTTTTGACAGCTTTTTGTGTAAATATTATTTCTCTACATATTGACTCTGGTGTCAACAGCACCAACCAAGTACCTCCACTAGTTTGTAACCTTTAGTATGCTTACCAGAGAGTGAGTCTGTTTTATATTGTCTGTCAGACTGTCTTGGTGTTGAAGCCTAGATCACCTTTGTTTGGTATTGATAAACAAAAATGATGTGTAGTTTTGTTGTCTGGCAGACCTTTTATCATACCTTAACATTTTGAATGGCACCTTCATTCACCCTGTTTGCAAGTTTTTCTTAGGTTGAAGCTCCTGTTTTGCCTCCTCATAAATTTTAACATGTAAATGGTGAGCAGTTAAATATAGTAAAGTATGGGTGGAAAATGTCTGAGCTTCTGTAGTAACCATCTGTCCACAGTGTTTGGTATTATGTACGTGTCCACCAGATTAATACAACAATTAAATAACAATTTTGTAAATTTGTTTCCAAGAAACAATTTTCACAAGAATGAATACATCCCTACAGACGATGCAAACTGGCTTGTCTTGTCTCATCACTGGAATGTGTTGCCTTTAGCATTTAACGTAAAACATTTTTTGGTAACTTCCAGAAGCAGCTCTAATTATGAGTGTATATGCTCTCATAAAAAAAGTTTGTTTTTGTTTCTGAAAAGATTCCACATAAATTGTTTGACCATTTGTTGTGAGACTGATGGAAATGTTACATCTATTCAACCCTGAGCTTTTTCTGTCTGCAGCACATGTGCTCACTTGAGAGTGACATAGAAAGCCAGATGGGAGAATTTCATGTGAAGATGAAGGGTGAGTGACTTTCTTATTCCCATGTGTTCAGTAAATCCGATATTAGTCTGGTTCTCGTTTTTTAATTGATCTCTGATGTTGCAGGTCTTGCTGGTTTTGCTCGGCTCTGTGCTGGTGACCAATACGAGGTAAGAAAAGACCTAAACCACAAGGATATAATCCTTTACAGAGATGCGGCATCACAGCCGGTGTTTTTGCCCATTTCAGGTACTAATGCGTTATGGACGTCAGCGCTGGAGGTTACGTGGTCGTGTGGAAGTCAGCAATAAGCAGATATGGGATAGTGAAGAGTATATTTTTCTGCCCCTCGTCACTGAGCTGCTGTCCATCAAGGTAACAAAATAAGTGATAAAACTCACTCAAAATCTTCAGGGTCATATCTTGCGTGGTATGAAATTAATTATAGCCACAGTATTCACAATCCTTGTGAAGAGAAAATAAATAGACATCAGTCTTTATACATGTATGTGTCATAATGAATAATCAATATTACACAGTTAGCTGTATCCTATTACTTACAACATGCATGCTTAATGGACTACTGTGACAAATAATCATTTTTCTCGGATTCCCTTTGGTTTCTCTGCACCCTCATTTATCTGGCATTTCTCTCCTGTGGTTGTCAAGGTGACGGAGCTGAAGAGCTTGGCTAATCATGTGGTGGTGGGCAGCGTCTCCTGCGAAATGCTTGACCTGTTCTGCCCACTTCCCCAGACACTTGCTGTAGACATCAACGATCTTGGGACAGTAAAACTAAACCTGGAAGTCACCTGGAGGTTTGTGTTTGTCAGTGCTTTAATCTCTGGACTGTAAGTGAATGAGCTGTAGTGTGTAATTATAAAGTTTCAATGAAAGCCTTTTATATTCTAAATGGAGTTTAATCAGTTCACACAAAGCTGTTCAAACTCATATCAGCTCAATTTTTCTCCCTGACTGTACTTTCTCAGTACAGCAGTGTTTAGATCTCATGCTGCTTGGTGAATTTCCTGTTCTGGTACAGGAAGTGATTTGTTTTATGTTGAGATTGAAGGAAGTGAGGAGGAAACACAAGAGCTAGAAATAAAAAGTGTCTAAAATAGTTTCATAATAGGCTCATACTGAAAACACCCTGGCAAATCTGAAGTTTGACCACAACAATTTGTTGGATGTTGTGACAAAAGAAACAATCATGAAATCAAAGACAAAACATCTGTGGCCCTGTCTGACTTTTGTCCCGTCTTTTGTTCCCCACTTTCAGTCCATTTGACAAAGATGACCAGACATCATCTACCAGCACGGTTTCGAAGCGACTACTGTCCAATCAGAGCCCTCCTGACACACCCTCAATGCGGGAGCAGGTCTTTTATGTAAGTCACACTAAAACTACACTACTCTGGAATTTTAGTCAAAACCTGCCAATACAGCAATGTGTCCAGTTAGACAAAACCAGGCATATTTACACTTAAACTTATCTGGTTCACCAATCTACATCAGACCTTCAGAAGTATTGAAAAATCTAACAGGTCACTAGAAAGATTGCTGATTTTTAAACCTTTCTGGGAAGCACTGGTAACCCCATTTCCAGATTGCTTGAAGCTTAGACATAAAAAGGACGACCATACAGCGTTTGGTTGGTCTATGCAGTAGCACTGTCTGACACACTCTTATCATTTAACTCCTCTAATATGAGCCACCGTGGAAGATACAAGGTGAAAGCCATACTTCAGGTCCATGTATCAGTTTGTCTCTCACTGATGGCTGTTGTTACTGTTCTTTTATTGGCTTCTATTTCAGCTGGTCCCCCACTGCTTTGTCTGTAGCGGTAGCACAGATATGTGTGAAGATATAAACACAGCTTTGTGTGGTAGAACATGTGTTTGTGGGAGTTGTGTGCCTCATTTGAGGAGAATGAATGATAGCCATCATGGGTTGTGTGACAGTCGCAGTACGTTTGAACGAAGCTGTGGTCCTTGTAGCTGTTTAATAGTGGTTGAGTAGTGTGCCTCATGTCCCTCCTCTTCCTCACCTCGCTGAAGAGTGCGCCTCATGGCAGGCCCAGACCAAGCTGCTCGGTGGTGCAGACGTTCCACAATGTTGAGAAGGACAAGACGGCATCCCCGCAACGGGATTTCTTCTGTACCAGTCCCAGATTCAGCTCAGTACAGTCGGTGTGTCTGTAGATAGAGTTTAGTTTGTAGTGATACATTTTCTTCCATTAAATTTTTAATAACATGTGAATAATAGTAGAGTTTAAATAAAGACATATTGCTAGTTAAAAGTGCTGGTTTATGCTGTTGTTGAGAATACTCAACATTAAACGCTTACATTTTATTTAATCCAGTGGTTCTCAAACTTTTTCTACTCTGTACCACCTGAGAAAACACTGAGCTCTCTGAGTACCACCATGATGACCAACATTAGAATATAGCAGCAGAGGCCTTCACTGTTAGCTCCACCACAGGAGAGATGTTTAGAAATGTTTGTAAAGATGTTTGTGTTTAAATGTTGTATTAATTGTGCATGCTATGTTTCAGATTTATTCAGTGGAAAGTGTAAATGTGAAAATATGAATTTCCCCCATGTACCACTAGAGATCGCTCGCGTATCACTTGTGGTACACGTACCACAGTTTGAGAACCACTAATTTAATACATTTGGAAATTAATTAAATTTCATGAGCTATAAATGTTTTTTTTTCTGCCTCAAAACAATCAATTGTCTCCCTATTGATCCTCACAGAACATTTTTTCACCTTTTGCTTTGCTTAATTTCTAGTCTCTGCTGAAGCGGCAGGGGGAAATGGACAACGGCACAGTTTGGTCCAACTCCTCTGAATCTTCCGACGACTCCTCCAGTCCTGCTCTGGCTCATCATGCACAGAAGCTCACGGCCTCCCACGTGCTGCAAACCACTCACGCTGGTCAGCTGTCCTTGACGCCACACAAGTCCAGTGCCTCAACGCCATCACTCTCCTCAAATCAGGAGGAGGAAGAGACAGAAAGTGGCGAGGTCTTCACTCATACAGATGCAGTGCCCAACGGCTACCTGCAGACTTCCTGCTCTCACAGCAGCCCAGACTGCACTGGGACTGACAGGGTGTCTCTACGGTCTGCTGACCTCTCAGATGCCTCAGTAGATCTGAGCAGCTCTTGTCCTGACGTCTCATCGGTGCCTCCTGTGTGTGTTTTGGAGACTGCAGATGTGTCTGACAGTGGCATGACACAGGTGTGTGTCACAGCAGAAGAAGTAAAGGCAGATGTAAGCCAGGACACATCTTTACAGGCTGAAGCAGAGACAGAGGACAGAACCACTGACAGTCAGTCACACAAGTCCACCCTGGACCTAAGTCAATCAGAAGACAGTCAAACAGTAAGCTCAACAACACCTTTGTTGTTTCTTTGTCAAGCATTAGGAACAATATTAAACACTTAAATAATTATTTTCCACAGGTTCCTTTTCCAACATCCTCCAGTTTCATTCAGGAGGTAGAGACAGCACTTGAAAGTTTTGATTTTCTCAACTACTCTGATGTTGATGAGGAAGAAGAGGAAGAAATAGTAAAAGACGAGGATAAAAAGCATTGTGAACAAGATGAGAAAGAAGGAGAGGAAGACAGAAATGGACAACATAAGGAAGTTGAACACAAAGTGGAGGAAGAAGAAGGAGAAGAGAAGGATGAAAGCAATTTCTACTCTGGAGAAAGGTCAGTGTTAAATCACAGGATTTTCACTGACATTGATGGTGGTTTCCCCTAACTGACTTAATGAGTTTTTTACTCTAGTCAAATATATGCATTTTGTCTGTGGTAATGTCAGGAATCCTGTGTCAGCGGTACTCGAACCACACTAATTCAAGAGAGACTCCACAGTTTGGTAGAAAAGCAGATTAACTACATATTGGAGGTTTTAATTATATATTTATGCTGTGTGTATGTGGCAGTGATGGTGAGGAAGAAAATCACCTTGAGATCCTTATGGAAGCACCAGAAGGATTTAGGAATTCAGACGAAGATGGTTTCTCTGATTCACAGGTAGGTAAAATGTTGAATATTACCATCTACATCCATATCACTGGCCAAAAAAATGAATACAAACAGAAGGTAACATCGCAGTAGCTGAGTTAATTTGAGATAATTTTACCAATCTTTTTTACTTTACATGTCTTTCTTTATTAGGAGTCTGTTGTTGATGATGTGCAGGACTTAACGTTGGAAATGCCCTGTGTTGAAGAGGAAGCCAGTGGGGGAAAAGGAGACAAAGAACATGGTAAGAAGACCCTGTCAGTAAACAGAGGCAGAAGATTATCATGGGATCACTGAAGGCAAAAGTCTGTTAATGTGCCCTTTTGTTTTTTTTCTTCTGGCAGGAGAGGACACGTCACATGATCAGGAGGAACGTCCCTCTACCCCCACTGATTTGGTCACGTCACTTATCTAATGACACAGTGAAACCACTTCTAAACATTTTCTCCCACCCAGACCGACTTGTCTTGTCCTCCTCCTCCTTCCCCAACTTCAGGGAGCAGGGTGTCCCACTTACAGCTCAGACAAACAGGCTCCTGCATTATGGCAGAGTTTGTGCACATATTTGCCTTATTTTGATCAAGAACGATAAAATTGGGGTATTTTTTTCAAATCAGCTGTGTCTGAAAGC